CTTTAGACATCTGAAGGTTTTATGATTTTAGGTTGGGGACAGTTTCTGTCCTAAAGCATGACCAATGAGCTTATTCTCTTCTATGTAATGCTAAGCTTAGGATAAGTCCTATGCTAGAAAGTGGATATTGATGGCTTTGGAAAAGTAGACTTATTGTACATTTTACTCATTTAAACCACAAAGATTCAAAGAAGGAGGCTAAAATTTTAATTTAAAATATTTATTTGTTAAAGATATCTAAAATTATCTTGTAAGACATATGAAGTTAAACAAAGTAACACAAATTGTTTTGAGAAAGTATGAAGAATAGATGACTGGTTATATAAATAACTTCAAAAATATTTCTTCAGTCTGGGCACACTAATTAGAAACAAGGGAGAAGAGGTCTTAGTTGTAGGGGAAGAGCTTTAAGCTGGATATTAAGGACAGAACCACCTGTCCAAAAGCAGCTATTGCTTTTATGGGCATAGCCTCTGGTATCCCATGTTCTTGTAATAACCCTTTGTTTTTCTTTTTGACAAACTACTATTTGCCCACATTCCATTTCATAAATTTATTTCCATCTGATTTTCATGGGGTAAGTTTTAAAACTCTTGATTGGTTTTCACCAGATTTGACATACCATTAATCTTTCAAGATATAATCCAAATATATACTCAGGCATCATCTTGAACCAAGAAAAAAAGCCATTGATAATTTTAAAAAATCATTCATTCCTAGTTTTTATGAGACTAAATGGATTAATCTAAGTTTTCAAGCAGAAGACTGAATAAGGGCTCCTATTTCCTTCACCATTTCTTTAGAAATGGTATATTTTTACTATGTAATTGTTTGCTGAAAATGGAATAATAATATTTAATTTCTGTACAAAGCATCTTGATTAAGATTCAAATATTAGGAAGCCAACCAATTTCAATAAAATGTAATTTACCAGCAAAGGTACAACCTGGATGCAAAATCTAACTTCTACTTGCACTGAGATTTTGTAAAGAGTGGGCAGTTGCTTAGGTAGAAACACAGTTTATACGTTACCTGCAGTGGACAACCACCGGCCCTCGACCTGTGGAGGCAGGCCTGTCTTCTTGTACATCCAGCATGAGCTGTAGAAGGGGCTGGGCACTGTCTGGAGTCTTGTGATCAGGCCATGAGGTGTACCAGTAATGTTTCACATGTTGGGTGTGACTTCCTTGCTGAAAATAGCAACAGCCACCAAATGCCTCATTTACTTGTGGAGCTAAAAGTCATCCAAACCACAATAGTGAATGCCTTCTATCACTTCCATTTTGCTGGAAACTTATTTTTAGGTGGAAAAACCTCTGGGAGATTTTTGAAGACTGCCTTTTCACCTTGGGAAAACTTTATTGTAAAATCTTAATGTCAAAGTTTGAGAGTTTTGCCTCTATTACATAAGACAGCATTTAATATTGAAAATGCATCTATAGTATGTGCTAAACATGTTTTTAACTTGGTGTAATACACAAAATGGCAGGTGAAAATGTAGCCAAGAAGTTGGGGTGTATTGTATTTCCTGTTCTTTGGGCCTTTCTAACAAGTTATTATGAAAACATGTTAACCAAAATAAGAACACTAGATTTTATATTTAGTGACTCTAATATTCTACACTCAGCTCAAATTCCAGTTGTTGTTGTTGCTGTTGTTTTTAAGATTTATTTATTGATGCATACAGAACTGGGGTACAGGCGAGAGGTTCAGGGGCTGTGACAGGATACACCAGAGACAGAGTGGGGAGCAGAACAGGCCGACTGATGAAGTACACTGCTGAGGGGAGCAGCGGGCAGGCTAGGAGAGGTCTGCCGTGCCATGTGGATCAGTTACCTCTGGGGCAGCGATTGAACTCATGAGGAAGTGGCTTTAGCTTCTTAGTGCTGAGCTTTAACCAGCTGCGCCACCAGGGAGGACCCTCAAATTCCAGTTTTTAGCAGCACTGAGGAATTCCAGTGGTAAATTTGCTTAAAGGGCTCACTGGATTGGAAATATTGAGTGAATGTTCATGCTCCTTATGTCAAAGCACATGTCTATTCGGGTGTCTGGCTCAGTCCAGGCACTCAAGGAAAACAAGTGCCAGTAAATGCCTACCTATCATTAATAACATCAATATTTCCCATTAAAAAACCTCAGTGCATCTCTTCCTTTGATCTTTCTTTCTGTGATGATTTTGTTCCAGCCATGAGATTCTAGATAGGGCTGAAATCTTTGGGTTAATCTCTAGAAACAAAAATAATTCTGTGGCAACAGTTGCAGCATCTGCTCTCAGAAATTAAATAAGAGAATTTTTCTGTGATGTAATCTGGTCTGGGGAATGTCCCTATAAATTACTGTCATTCCAAATTTTGGAAGATCTCATCAACACTTCAGACTTGTCTTGCTTCCCACTACCACCCACAAACACAGATTTTATCTTTCTCAGTTTCTAGTCCTTTCTTAAAGCTGCTTAGACCAAAGTGACTTTAAAAAAAAAATCATGGTAAAATCTCTTAGCATATGCATTGAGTCAAAGGAGTTCAAAAGGTTAAATCAGGGATGCTTTATTCATGTAAATTTAGGAGATCACAACATCCTGTGCAGTCAATTTCCTTAATGGCTGCTTACATTAATTTAATCATTCCATATCATTCCATAGTTGACAACAAAAGAAATACATAAGGGAATGATTATAGTTTCTCTTTGAACTTAGCATTTCATTTGTTTAAATTGAATGTGTTGTAGCTAGTAGGATAAATACATACAGCAATTCTAAAGTAGAAATGTAATCCTCTAACACCACCTGCTTTTATAGATAAGCTATGATTTCATAATCTTACCTTTAAGACAAGGTTTCGAATAGTGTAGTTATCACATTCATGAACGCTGATAACCAGGACCTCAACTTTCCCATAAATCCCTCTCTTTTCTGGCCAGTATAATACACATTTCTGGAGAAGAGGACAGAAGAACACAGCATTAGTGACTATATTTGGCTTTGGGCTGTTCCTCCCCTCCCCCCAACCCCATCATGCTTGAATTATTTATTTATATATCTAGTGACTTTTTAATGGTAGTAAAATTGGTTTATAGGACTGCATATGGTTTAAGGGTATCAGATCATATACCTTAGATGTATATTATCACACCATGCCTACCACTAAAGTACCCACATCATCCTTCATTCAAATATTTCAAGGGTTTGGGTTTAATTAATCTAAGACATCAGGTATCACTTTTTACAATTCTGTAAATGAATTGAACCATCAAATTGCACATTTTAAACTGATGTCTTCTATCGTATGTAATTTATATCTCAATAAAGTTGTTGTTTAATCAAGTCCAATTTTGCAGGTGCCTGCCAAATATTGATGCTTATAATTCCATCCAAAGAAAAATAAAAAGTGAAATTTCTGAGAACTACATAGAAAAATTAAGAACTAAATTAAGGAATTAAAATATAAATACTAGAGTTTATCATGTGATGTCTAGAAATAAAGGGAACATTTTCTGATAATAATTGCGACAAGTCACTTTCTCATCAAACCAGTGTCTAATAAAAGTGTCAGTAGTAGATTAGATGCCATAGAATGAAGTTTCCCTTGAATATAAAGCAGATATAATGACTATTAATACATCCATTTTTTTTTCAGGCCTTTTCACCAATGGGGTCAACTGAATTAAATGTTTAACAAAAGTACTTTAAAAGTATTTTTGTAATGGACTTCTATGAAGGGCTTTCTAATAGTAAGGACAATCAATTGTAGTGTAAGCAAGGCAAAGTAATATGGTAGTCACTACTCTGGAGTCAGAGAGCCTGAGTTCAAATTTTGGTTTCATCACTGTTTAGGCTCCTAATCCATAAATAAGATGCCTAATCTCCCCAGCTTCAGTTTTCTTCAGATTTAACACATGGAAAACACTTAGCACAAAAATCAGGCTTACAGGAAGCAGTCAACAATATTATTGTTGTTATTATAATTTACAACTTCTGAGTTACAGATTTTTTTCTTCTAACGTGATTAATTCATTAGCTATTCATTAGATTATACGTTAAATGTATGTGGTTATAATTATATCCAACTTACCCTATGAAAAAAATGACAAAATGAGATCGAAGCAGACCTAAACCCTCACGAAATTTATTATTTTGCCTTTTAAACAAATGCAAAAGAACTCAGCTATTTTACCAGAAATTTTAATGGCTAAAAATATAAAGGTGAAAGTTGATGTTAATTTTAGAAATATTATTTAAATTGCACTTACTTTTCCCCCAAACTACATGCATATTTATAGAGAAAGTCCTTCAGTTAGGACCTCTTAGTACCCAGGACACTTTTTTGGTGACATCTATGTCACAGGTATGACCACACTTAAAATAGTAAGTATTCACAGATTCAAAAGAACAGCAAAAGAATCAAAATTACAGAATGAAAGCAAAAGACATGTAAATTGTCAGAAAAATACCTCAGGACTCTAGCTCATTAAAGTACCAAGAACTTTACAGAAGAGAGTGACAAGGAAGTCACTTTACCTAGTGGAATCACTGTCTCTTTCATCCATTCAATAAAAACACAGTTGCATCCTCTATGTGCTGGTCGTTTTCCAAACAAAGTAAATCATTTCACCTCTACTTATTAACACATGCCACCCCCACCCCCCAAGTCTGTCAGGCAAACAAGCTAGCGATTTAACTACTCTGGCTGACAAAGTGTTAACATTAAGAAAACAAACCTCTTAAAAATAAAGAAATAATTTCCCCTCTTCAATTACATTTGGCAAAAGTCTACAATGACCTCCCTCCTCCCCAACCACCGTTTGTTAAAGGTAATCATACTAACCAGTTTGCCTGGTTTCTTTCAATGGAGCATCAATTATTTCGCCGAGAGACCGAGCTATTGTGTATCTTAAAACCCCTGCCTCTCGGATGAATCCAAGAATAGTGACAAAGAATCTTGAGAAAGGTATTGAACAAAGACAGAGGCTTTCAGTGGTCCAGCGAGCTACGTGCTCCATTGTCCCCCATCAGACCTGAGCTGCAGGCCCCTCTTTAAGAAGGTGGCTCTTGAAATTGGTCGGGAAAGCTGCAAGGCAGGAGCGCAGCCCGCACCCCGGCTCTTAACAATACTTGAACAGCTTGTGCACCTACTTGATAAATGGAAGCGCTGCTTGCTTCTCTCCCAAGCTTGCTGGGGCCCTCTTGAATGTTTTTCTTGACTCTTTACCAAAAATGCAATTGGCAGCCAGCTCCCAGTAGACAATGCAAAGTGACTTGTTCATTCAAACAACCCTTAATTAGCATCCCATCTCCTTTCTGAGATACAATAGCTTATTTTTACACACTGAATACATTTTCCCTCTTCTAGGAGAATGTAGAAAAGGAGAACAGATAAGTGTGGGTGTTTTTGAATATGAGGTGGAGGAGAACTGTAGTTTCTAAGAGCACAAGCTCAGGTTCAAATTATTTCCATAACAGCCTTTTAGAGTTTTTATATTGTGGTGTTAACGGTGATATGAAAGAGGCAGAAAATGCAAGGAAGGAAAATGCTCTCTTGCAGATAATATTGTGAAATCATATTTACTGTAGATAATTTAAAATAGCAGGCTATCGAGCAGAATATAGCCCCAAATCATCATTAATCTGCTAGCTGGGCTGATCCTTTCCCTAGAATTGTCTATTAATTCCAAGAATTCATAATTTGCAGGAAAAAGAGGTTTTCACAGGGACACATATCTCTTGTACAAACAAACAGGGAAATGGACTGTAAAGATTCTGGACAATAACCAGCTTTTCCTAATCAGTGTTTTATAGCCAAAGTAGAATGAAATGTAAAACAATGCAAACTCATATTTTTATGTTTTGTTTTTTTTTTCCTTTTGACCTTCTCTTCACTCCTACTGCATTAGGCTACTGTGTATTAAAAAAGAAGAAAAAGAAAGAGGTTAACTAGTTTAAAAATATATTTTTAGGTTATTTGCTTTTTAAATTTTGTGCACTTAAAAGCGTTGCTTTTATATGTTCTATGAGGAGTGTAGAAAAAGAAACCAGTAATTGTGAGTGCTATTATGAAAGATTAAAGGTATGAGTGATGGAGCATCCCATGGAAACTGGCTCTAAATCAAAAAGATGTTTGTGTTCATTTGGGTGACATTAGTACCTGGTAGGGATAGAATGGGTCAGATTGTCTACAGTGTTAGGCCAAATCACCAAGTAAGCTTTCACTTCAAGAAGGCAAGATCTGCTGTTTTACTGCTGAGGTCAATAGTGAATTGTCTGCCTTCTTTCTCGCTTCCTCATTTGGCTATTTTGTTGGCATAATGAGTAATGGGGTCAAACCAACTGGAATTAAAATTTGGAGTCCATCACTTACTAACTTGAAGACTTTAGGCAAATGTCTTAACCTCAAGTTGTTCATAATATAAGGATAGTAAAACCTACTAAACTAGAGTTAGAGTGGAAATGAGGTGAACATCAATTAGCTTAGCCCATATATTCAATAAGTAGAAAATATCTCTGATGCAGTAAGATTAAGACCTATAGCTACTTTCGTTCTTTCTTGGAAAGGATGTGGTAGGCATACACTTCCATAGTCTGAGGACTTTGGAAGTGTATAAGTTCCCTATTTTCATGCTGATCTTCTAACTCCAGCTTTAAAGGTTTTGATCATTCTGCCTTCTCTAGTAATGGAATAGTTCATGTTAAATGACTTTGAACACTAGGTTTTCAATGTTCTTTTTCAAGAGGAATTCCCTTTTTGAGATTTATCTAAATGAAGGAACTTTAATTTATCAACAATAAAATCACTTCTGTTTGTTACAATAAAGAAGAACTGATTTTCAACTATATTTTAGCCTTTTTTTTCATATATTCTCATTTTATAAAAAGCAAGGAACTATAAGAACACTGGGATTATTAAATAAGACCTCTTGGTTATGCATTTATTTATTAGAAAGATTTGGGAAAACATAAAGCCTGGAGATTCCTAAAAAAAAACTCCACCTCCTTTTATTTATTTATTTATTTTTGGTGGAAATGATTTTTGTCTATTCTAAACAATGATGCTCAACACAATTGAAAGTTGGCACATTTTTAGTAAACACCATTTTCCTGGAAGTCACATTTCTTTTGAGGCAAGAGTTTTCAGTATCATTTTGATCTGTAAAACATCAAAGTTTCCTCTATAGTATTACATTACATTTTGAGAAAACCTGGACAAAAAGAATTTTAATGAGTAAATTATAGTGACAAGTGATAAGAAAGGTCAAAGCCTTTAATGGATTATTTGGGGTTATGACTGGCTGCTCCTCCCCTGTCCCACTTAACCTCAGAAACCTCACCTTATTTAATGTCCTTTTCGTTGCTCTGGCTTTTGTGCTGCTAATCATCCCCTAAATAAACATCAGTGTGGGCACTGACAGGTTAACCTCATAAAAGCGTTAGCAATATTTCATACATCTGAGCGGAACACGTATTCCTGCTCTGCTTTGATTTGAAAAACAACTTTCTGAATAGATTGTCACAATATAAATGTTTTCTCAAAGCAAATCAAATCCTGAATAATTCTATTCCTTCCATTAAAAATCAATCCTGGAAGTGCACAGGACTATGGTGATGGCACATGGGTGACTCCATGATGGGAAACCCATGGGGATTACAACTGAGATGAAAAAAAAATGTACAAAACAATGTAAAAATAAACTATTATATTTTTAAAAAACCAATCCTGTTGTTACCTATTACTAATATTTTAATATGTGCTCTTTCCCATTTTTATTAATTCTTCTAGTTTTGCCTACTTTGGGCTTCTAAAAAGAAATATTTGCTTTATTACCCCTTTCGTTTTCCCCTCATATGTTATGAATTACTGTTTTCACCTTTACTATCGCTTCCTCTCTTTGCATTTATTCTGCAGTTCTTTTTACTAAGTCAGTTGCTATGTTCATATTTATTTCTTGTACTCTGGTTGGCTTTTAAATATTCCTTGTCTCTCTTGACAGTTACTTGTTTCTTTGTCAAGTTATTTTATAATTTGCAGACTTAGTTACAAATAATATAGCCTATATTTATAATTTCTATTTTAATTTTTGGTGGGTCTATTTGCTGCTCCTGATTTTTTTCTTATATTGTTTTATTTCAATCACGTCTCATAATTTTGACATGTGATTTAATGTTTGGCTGGGATGTACCTGTGGAAATTGTGACGTGTGTGCTAAGAATATAGGTATCTAAAAGATTTTCGCTTTGTTTTTGTAAAGTGCCACAGAGACCTACCAACTCAGTATTACTTTTTATGTTCCTTATGGCATTTCTAAAGACTTGAGCGGGCTTTTTATTTATCTCACAGAAAGGTCAGACCTGGATTAATTTCCTGTTGTATGCCTATTTGGGGAGGCAGGTTTATTTTTGTGGTTCACCTTTTCACAGAAGATGCAGGCACCACAGGTCTTGCTTTATGGAACACTCAGTTCCAGCTCCTGGTTCCTGTTAAGTCCAGTTTTATTTGGTCACTAAAACTCAAGTTAACCTCAACTTGTGGTTTTATGTCTTCGATTCAGGTTTTCACCATTGTAATTCCTCTATTTCTTTTTTGCAAGCTCTGCTATCTGTGCTATTTCACATTTTATACAGTATAACTGTCATTATCATGGGAGGTTTTTTAGGTTATCTACCCTGATAAGTTATCTAAGTGTTCTCTCTCTATGCAAATAGGTGTTGTACAGAAAATACATCTTTTATTTTTATTATTATTTTAAAAGATTTATTTATTTATGCATACAGAACTGGGGTACAGGCCAGAGGTGCAGGGGCAGTGAGAGGATTCACCAGAGACAGAGTGGGGAGCAGAATAGGCAGACTGACGAAGTACTCTGCTGAGGGGAGCAACGGGCAGGTGAGGAGAGGTCTGCCATGCCATGTGATCACCTCTGGGGTGGGGGATCAAACTTGCACTGAAGCAGCTTGCAGTGCTGTGGCCTAACCTGCTGCGCCACCAGCAAGGGCCCAGAGAATACATCTTTTAAACTGCAGAATCTTTTCCAATGATAAAGAAAAAAAAAAAATCACAGATTTTAAACAACTGTTTAGAAATTTCCAGGGGACACTCACAGTGAAATGTGTATGAAACACCTGAGAATATGAAAGTTTATTTATTATCGACTGCAGGCTTTCATAGAAGAGTCACAGAAATGCATTTATTCAATAAGCCATATAGTTAATTAAGTTTGTAACTGACTGCCAAAAATATACTTTTGCTCTCAGTATACATATCAGAAAAAATGCTTCACTTATTATAGCAAAAAATAGAAGAAACAACAAAAATTTAAAAACTTCTAAATTACTATTTGTGGGCCTGGATTTTCTTGATTAGTTGTGGGATTATATTATAAGGATTATACTGACCCAAAGGCTATTAGGGTAAGTTCAGTTTTCTGAAATACTATTGTCATGCCTTAGTATAATAATTTTGACAAGACAACAAAAGTACTGAGTAAAATCAAACTGTGAATTATTCTCATAAGACACCCTAAAATATAAGTATTACCTAGGATAGCACCATTTGGAAATTACACAATTTTTGTCTTTATGTTGCAAAATGCAGAGAGTATTATATAAACTAGACACTTAGAAAAGATTGCTAGTATGGAAATAGAATAGAATTTTCTCTTTATTGGATTTTTATTATGCAGATAATAAGATCTTTGCTTGGTTTTCAATACTTTTCGAATCTCACTTTCTGAGTAAGTCTCATCCCAACCACCCTAATTAATTATTAATACTGCCTAATAATACTGCCACTTGCTCTTCTCCCTCACCCCTCTCTCCTGCTCTGACACCCAGTCTTCTCCTCCTGCTCTAGTTTTTTTCTGTAGCGTTCTTCCACAGCACTCCTCTTTTATAACATTAAATATTTTTCCATTAATCTACTATGTTTGTAGGTTTTTTTTTGTCTGTCTCCCCCGCTAGAAAGTTAAAATCTACTGTGGGTTCCTATGAACTGGCTACTAGCTGGCCACTCAAGGGCAACTGTGACCTATTTGCTATCTGCACATCACAGCAGAGCACTGTGACTACACAAATATAGCCCCTGTCACGAGGCAGACCTGGGGCACCTCTGCTGCTGTAGACCTGATGACATGACTATCTCCATGGTCGTCTCCAGTTAACTCTGCCTGTAGCTCTTGGCAAATGGTCACGATGTCTCCGTTTCTCATGAACTTTGCCCCCCCTTCCTATCCTACCCTCCAGAATTTATACCTCATACCATTGTCGCATGCATTTACTAGCTGTGTGATTTCAATAAGTGGTGCAAGAACTTCTGCTCGAGTAGCAGAGTCTGGCCTTGCACACCTGTTCCAGGACTGTTGTGTCTCTCATCAAAGTTCCTGTCGCAACAACCTAGCAAGGGCAAGTCTCTCTTTGTGCTTTGTTTGCTAAAGTATTGCCAACAACTAAAACTGATACCTGTCACACAATAGGTGCCCCCCAAATCACTTGGGTTATAGTCAGCAGTGCTTATTTTCTGTCTCTTAGTCAGGTTGAGAATTAATAGCCTCTCATTTTCTTATTGCGATATATATGGGTAGAAATGACAAATACACACATGTATATATGCACATATACAAATATATTTATCTATATCTATACTTATCTATACTTATATAGATAGATCTATAGATCTATAGATATAGATATGAAATATGTTGATTCATCTGCTAGAAAGTGACCCCTCATGGAATAAAACCAATTACCATTATTTGAAGCACAAAGTGACTTAGTCTGAAGTGTTTCAAAGTTTCCATCTTAAACCTGTTATTCAGTACATGGCAATTTTCCTTATACCACATCTCTTCCATTGCAACAGAAAATATATAACTTTTGGAACTTGGGTAAAGTTCATACCTCATTTTTTTCCTTGAGTTTTGTGATCATAACTATCACAGGACTGTCTTCCTGCCAAACCATCTGCCAGAAATCATTCACGGTGTTGATCATGGGGCCCTGTGTGGCGATGAATGCTTTCTCTTTGCCACCGTAGCCCTAGGTGGAGTAAGGAGACAAAACACTGGCTTTGAAGTTGATGCTTTGCACTGAAAGTTTAGTTTAGGTGAAAGATATTCAGAACAAAATAGCTCTGCTAGTTCCAAAAGCAACACAGACTTTGGCGGCTTCGTTGATTTTCACAGGATATTCTTAGCAAGTCAAGTCGAGCACAGGCGTTTGCATTTGAGGGTCATAGCGCTCCGTCCTCAGCACAGCACCCATATAAAGCACGAAAAGGAGACTTGTCGTAAAGAGCAATCAGCCCACCTGTGTTGATTGTGGATCAGCAAACACAAAACGCCTTGCTAGTAATGAAGATAAATCAGATTAATCTACTCGGGGGAGTAAAAGAAAACCAACAATTTCAAACGGTATAGAGACATGCTCCTCAGAGGGAAATTTATATTTATTTACTTACCCTGATATAATTAGCATTAATGTAGGTGCTCAAAGAATCAGTTACATTTTTGGACTTTAAACACACTCTGCTGAGGGGATCTAATAAAGAAAACAAGAAGGAATACATTCATCAGATTTATTCTTCTACATTCTGGAGAACACCAATAATTCCTACAGAGCACATCTGTTAGCTTGTATGTTGATGTACAGGCTTGTGTTAATGTCTGTTGTGGATGCACCTGTGTGTCTCTGTGGTTATCAATGTACATTTTAATGCATCTTGACCCCTGTCCTGACAGAAATCTTTCCCCACACCCCCAGATGATTTTATATTTCATGTCCTTCATTGGTGGGTTTCTGATTCTTCACTGCACTTCACATTATACTCCCTTTCTGTTCCTTAGATTTGGAATTTGCACCAGATATTCCTACACCCCTCTCTGCTTCCCCTTCAGAGATGAGCTAGGCTGAATGCTCTACTTCCTATATATTTCACGAATTCCTCTCGTCCAGATCCTCAGGTTCCACCTAACCATGTCTCACCATCTTATGTCTCATCAGACTTCCCAATTTCCCAAGATGGAGGAAATTGATTCATTGTGTGCTGTGCTATCAGCATGGGAAAAGGAGGTGGGGTAAGTCAGGGAAAGAAGGAAGTTGCAACATGAACATTAATGATATCAAAGAGTACTCAGTCAATCTGTTCACAAATAACCAGTAACATCTGATTGCTTACTAGATGTCAGACTATATTTACAAAGCTTTACAGGTACTGCCATTTGATCTTTGTATGTCTTGAACAACAAGTACCTAAAATAATTAGTTCCATTTTTTCCAACATTTTTCAAATAATAAATTGACACAGAGAGGTTAAATGTTTAGTCCAAGGATGCACAGCCAGTAAGTAATGGCCTTGAACTCACTGAGTCTAACGCTAGACCATGTTTAGCCACTATGCTCTGCTGCTTCTTTAATACCAAAATGGCCAAAGAAGTGGACATTTACAGCACACTTGTGGGATCAAACTCTTCTCCCTTATTCCCTTATTAGCAGTAATAGTGATTGATCAAATTCTGAATATAATACAAGAACTTACATTTCCAAATCAAACGTAGAAAAATCAAAGAGGAAGTGAGGTCAGAGATTCTAAAGGGAGAAAGTATCACAGAGACAATAAAAAATCTAATGGGATTTGGTGGGAGTAAGATTTATTTTAAAAATTAGTTTCATGTGGGCCCTCCCTGGTGGCGCAGCGGGTTAAAGCACAAAGAAGCTAAAGCCACTTCTACATGAGTTCGATTCCCGCCTGCCCGGGAGG